AGAGAGAGAGAGAGAGAGAGAGAGAGAGAGAGAGAGAGAGAGGAAGAATTTGAGAGATATTTCTTTCAATACTATTTTTCAAAAACAGCATTATGCAAGGTTTACGGAGATGTTTCTGCTACCTGCTCCTTGTGTTTTTGCTGTTGTTCATAAATACAGCAGAGGAAGAATTCTAGACTTCTGAACCTTGGCTCAGATTGTTAAAGTCACCACATGTGCCCTTCACTCTAACACTGCGCCCTGCCCTCCACCTTTCAATAGGCAGTTAGCTTCGCCTACATTTAAGTATTTAAGTACCCATGTTGTACTTAAGTATTTAGGTACCAAGTATTTAAGTACCCATGTGGTGACTCACCTGAGCACTCTGCTGACATGATAGGTGAATTAAATCCTCCTGTGGCCCATGCAGTGGGAAAGTTGAAATTGTCTATTTTCTGGAGCTGATGAACGTTCTGGAAGGTGCTGTAATGCTGGTGTTAGCCCAATGTCTTCTGCTGTCTTTGTGAAGAAGGCCAAATTGTGATGTGCCCAATAGGAATGGGCACAGAGCTAATTCTTCCACTTCACAGTAGGATGCTTCAGATGAGCACTAAACCTCCAGATCCTGGGGTCTGTGGTCCAGGCATGACCTCCATCATCACCATAAGCACAGTATACCAGACAGGTTAGAAGCATCCACTGTGAATCGGTCACCTCCCACACCTTCGCCCTATATGCTCCAAAGAGCACAAGGTAAGGGATTGAGGGAACGTACTACCCCCCACCCCACCACAGTGTTAATACATTTGAGCAGTCTGCCTGTCAGCACTTCCAGAATGGTCCAGCTTCCCTAATGGTCTCGACGACACTTTTAAAATTATTATGCAAAGCCAGGAACTCCTGTCTGCTGTTGTACAATTCACCCAGAAGAGGAAATGGGTGTGTCACATCGGACGCATGAGACCCAAGGCTGACTACCACCCGCTAGTATCAGCGTGTGAACTTTGGGATGGACCCTCCAATGAATAAAAACTCCCTCCCCTACCATGGCACCTGTCATTCTACCTATCTCATCTCTGAACATCTCCACGGACGTTTAATTTATGTTCTTTTTGGTTCTTTACCTGTTTCGTTTCTGTTGTTACATTTTAATGCTCAAAGACTAGCCTTTCCTTTTGGGAATCCAAATGACCCTGAATTGTGGTCTGCAGGCAAAGCCAACTGTGTGGCCACCTGCCAGTATCCCCAGTGTTCAGCCTAGAGGCTTCACAGTGCTCAGCACCTAAAACTGACAGTGCCTCTCGCTCAGCTATGGACCTCTGCTCTGGACCTTTGGCCTCTTCCCACCAGCTCAGTGAAACAAGATGGCTCTTGGGCACAGGGCAGTACAGCAGAGAAAAGAACAGGGGGCCTCAGGGCCTGATATGAGAAGCGCAGGTCAGTTAAGGAAAGCTTCAGGGAAGGCAAGAGAGGTCCCACTGGGGTCCTCTTCTGATGGCCCTGCAGAGAGAGATGTCACACTAGTGAATTGTGGTCTGCAGGCAAAGCCAACTGTGTGGCCACCTGCCAGTATCCCCAGTGTTCATCCCAGAGGCTTCACAGTGCTCTGTGCTCCACTATTCACTCTAGGAGAACTTGGAGTCTGCCTCGGCCTCATCACTGACCCACTCACAGGAGAGGGACGGTGTCAATACTTCTAAAGGGACCTTTGGAGATGAACCCTAAATTTCCAGAGCCCTAGCATGATCCTTAGCTCTTAGCAGACATTGGTTCCATCTGAAAAACCTTTGGGCTTATTCCAGCCTGTTTGTGGCTTGTAATGGTGTACTCTATTGGAGACAGCTTTAATGTGCACTAGCCATGGCCAGACACTGGGTCCCTCCATGAAAGTTATGACTCCTAGCCCAGCCAGGAGTCCTTAAGAGAGCAGCCCCCAGGTAGCCCCAAGGGAGTGAGCTTACCCCCCCACCTCCACCTCTGCACTGTGAATCAGTACAGATACACTATCTGCCATGAGGGTTCTCTTATCATTTTTAGAATATTTATACAGCAGGTTCAGATCATGTTTTTCTACTAATAAGAATGCTAACGTCATTGTTTAGATAATCAGCAAGACTTTATGAAGTTTACACCTTTGCATTATTAAAGGATATATAACAGTTCATGTAAACTCAACAGCGTGTTTTGACTTTCTTTGGTATTTGTGTCCAACACAGTGCCCAAAATAAAAACCTCTCCATCCACCTCACATGCACTTGATAACTGATTCCTAGGGGAGACATTAAATTGGACCCCACCTTTGGTGGGAAGGAGAGTTCTAATCAAAGGCATTTTCCCATGAAAATTGTTATGCTTTTCTAAGTGATCCTGAAGGTGTCCAGTTCCTGTTACCTGGGAATCCTCAGCAGACAATGAGAGGAACGAGCATTTGCAAAACTGGGGAGGTAGTCACTCTGAAGACAAGTTCAGGGGTGGCACAGTCCACCAGATACAGAGCTCTCCAGCAAGTCTTATGTGTATGTAGCAACCTTTTCTCCTCCTCACAATACACACACACACACACACACACACACACACACACACACACACACACTCAGGAATCTTATGATAGATAGAAAGCTTGTGTTGACAAGCTGCATTCTGTGCCTAGCCAGCTCCAGGAAGGAGCAAGCAGAAATATAAGGGGTTTCTGAAAAAACTAGCCCTAGAGTTCAACCATTCTGGTAGCCTGACAGTTATATTGAGACCAGGGCTTCAGCGCCTGGGGAGCCATAATACAATAACTCAGATCCAGCTGGGCACCTAGAAAATGTGAGATCCATTTAAAGGCACAGGAAAATTGGTATATATGTGAGTCTCAGCCTTGGAGCAAGCCAGTTAAGTGCCAAAACTGCTTTGAATGCCAAGCTCTCAAGCCAAGAGCCAAAGAAAACAGACAGCCCAGGCAGGCACTGCTCCAGGCAGCTCTTACCTAGGAAGATGTGGGAAAGCTGCCCTCCAGGAAGCCTTCTTTATGTGCAAGGTACCTAGGTGGGCTTGGCACAGAGGGTGAGAGGAAGGTCATGGGGAAAGTAGACGTCTGAAAGGTTTGGGGCTGTTTTGTTTGTTTGTTTGTTTTTGCTTTTCCTTTTATGACCCATTCAATGAGATGTAGGATCTAGACCTCGTCCCACCCATTTTCCTGAACTAAACTATTCTGTAACTATTCAGGAATTTCTCCTGACCCCAGGACCCTTTGATCTGTATCACAGACTCCTCTTATTTCCATCTCTCTGTCAGGGCCACCATCATTCTCTCCAACTTCAGGAGCACTCACTTGCTGTAGAAGTATCAGTCCTTGGAAGTGGTGGGCTGGGTGGCCCCTTTCTTTCAGGAATCTTTACTTTCTCTCAATGTTTCTGCATCAGACCACGTTTGTTCTATCTGAGACATGGAGACATGGAGCAACCCTTTGGTGATGGGTCCTGGAATCAGGCATGAGCCACTGGGATTGAGGTCAGGGAAGACTTAGGAATGGTGGCCCTTATATGATTAGGGTACTTGTTCAAATCCCAATTCCTGATCCTCACTGCCCAATGATTCTGGTTCTAGAATTGAAGAGCTCCAGATTCTCAGTATTTAAGAAACCATCTAGGAATTCCACTACAGGTGGAGAATTGCTGTGTTAAGTGTTAAAAGGCATTTAGTTTTCATGCAAAATTAAAATTGCAAAACTTGATGACTAAAGATGTGGTCTACCAGTATTTTAGTATTCCAGAAAAAATGCACACTATGGAGACTGGTATCTTGGAAATAGTATCATGTGTGGAGTAATTCTGTTTTGGAATAAGGTATTTGTGGTTGAAAAAGATTTGCAAAACATCCTTGACCAAGACCCTCCTAGATACAGGTATCTCATCCATAGGATTACAACCTCTGTCCAGTCTCTGTTTAATGCTTCTAGAAATAGAGTGCTCACCTCCCAAAGCAACTCACACTGTTTGAATTTCTATGCTTGTCAACCCTTCCTGTGGGGCTGTAGTCTGCTCCACCCCCCATATTGGCATCTACTGATGCTGTGCAGAATACAGGTCCTTTTCCTCCCTGTGACACACATTGGCATTTTTGGAATGATGTTCTCTTCCCCAGGCTGAATACTCACTCAGCCATCCAACAAATATTCTGTCAGAGTTACCCTAGTGACTGGGGAAACAGAAGAGAGAGCAAGCACCTGCTAGGGTGTCCTAGAGAAGCCATGCAGAGAGAGCATGCATGTAAATGCCCAGGACAAAAGGTCACATGGTGGCCAGAAGAGAAGAGAGCAGAGTGACTTGGTAGATAAAGAAGGTAGATCTCCAAGAAGGTAACATGGGACCTGTAAGACAACACAGCTACACAATCAGCCAGGCCCTGGGGAGATGACAGGCTGGCATATTCATCAGGCAGCATACAGACTGGCCTGGAACTGAAGGTCAGACCCTGCTTTAAGAGGGTCAGAGGGACTACACAGGGGCCACAACACATGTGAGATCTCATGGGCCAAGGAAGACTTTGAACTTTCTATCAAATGAAAGGGAGACCACCAACCTACTTTTTTGCCTATGTCATATCACAGTCTTCATCCTTGGATGCCTCCCTTTGAAGGTGCTCCCAACCAGGGAAACCTCCGGCTGGTTCTGCTGGGTCCAGAGCAAACAGCCATCTAGTCGCTGTACTCTCGCACTCAGAATAGCTTCTCCACAGTTTATTTTTCCTCTTTGAAGAGATGAGTGGTTATGAGGCTGGAGACAGGCTCAAAGGTTAAGAGATGAGTGGTCATGAGACTAGAGATGAGTTCAATGGTTAAGAGATGAGCAGTCATGTAGGACTGCATTTATGTATCAAGATCAAGATAAAAGCCATTGCTGTTGAGATGGGCATGGCAGCTCATGCCTGTAATCTGAACTCTCAGAGGCTGAGGCAGGAGGGTTGTTGTATATGTGAGGCTAGCTTGAGCTACACAGCAAGGCCCAGACTAGCCTGGGTTACAGAGAAATAAGACTTGGTCTCAAGAAAAAATTTAAGAGTGCCACTAAGTGCAAAAATTCATAGGTATTCCCTCATGTCCCCAAAACAACTACTTTCATGTTTTCAGCTCTTTCTTCATGAAGTAGGCACTTGACACATACTGGGATGACTTTCCTATTCAAGGAAACCCCTTGGGATCCTAAAGATCAAGGAAATTAAGATATCTCCTTCCTTTTACATGAGTGAAAAATAAGGAGAAATTCTCAAGTGGGCTGCTAGAAGAATGAGTCATTCCAGCTGAGGGCTAAGGCCTGTGGCTGATTTCCTGATGTCAAAACCCACACACCCGATAGCTAATGTCCTTTACTCATCTTGGGTCTTCTCAGAGACCCCAGCTATAGTTCTCAGTGAAGGATTAGAAGGGACCAGCCCAAAATTCCAAGGGAGAAAGACTAAGAAGCAAGTCAAGGTGCCAAGGAGTGACATTTGTGAACCTGGCATCTCCTCCAGCTCAGGCCATGAGGCCCCTAGAGGGATTGGTTGTGAGCATTCCTCTTTGAATGCCAAGCTCTCAAGCCAGGAACCACAGAAGACAGACTACCCCGGCCAGGCACTGCTCAAAGCAGCTCTTACTAGGACGATATGGGAAAGCTGCCCCTTCGAGAAGCCTTCTTTTTGTGCAAGGCACCTAGTTGGACTTGTCATAGAGGGCAAGGGCAATGTCATGGTGAAGATAGACATCTGAAAGGTTTTGTTGTTGTGTTGTGTTTTGTTTTGTTTGCTTTTCCTTTTATGACCTGTTCAATGAGATTCAGGGTCTAGACTTTGTCCCACTAGTTTTCCTGAACTAAACTATTCTGTAACACCTACAAGGTACCCTTTGATCTGTATTCTGGGCATTCTGGGCCAGAAATGAAGTCTGTAATTAGGAACAGTAGAATGACACAACCTCTAGAGAAGCACTCCAGTACCTAGTATGGACAGAGATAGGCTACACAAGGAATGAAGAATGGTGGCCAGGTGTGGTGGTGCACGCCTGGAATCCCAGCTCTCAGGAAGAGAGGGCAAAAGGATCAGAGACCCTAGTCAGTGAGATCCTGTCTCAAAACTCCAACATCATTAAAAGGAAAATGGCAGCCCACATGCAGTACCACTTATTCTGAGTTGCCCTTCTCTCCCCTTGTCTGGAGCAAGATGAGAATGGCAAGCTGCTGGAGCGGGCTTAGTAGTTAGCAAAGTATAGTGAACTGAGTATGGAGACAGTTGGGGCCAATTCACAAGTACTGCCAGCTGTAGACCTGGGTATCCTCGGTCTCTTGGGGGCACAAGAAACATCAGACAAGGTCTAAGGGTAGAATGGAGTTGCATTTGAAGAATGAATGAATGAGAAGTGCCCATATGTCAGTCTGAGACTACTGTCTCCACAATGACTTCCATAGGCAGAACTCTGTTCAGAGTCTTGCTTCCCACAATGCTGCTATTCATGGGAGTCAGTGGGTCCCTCTCAGAAAACTGATGTCAGTGGGGCCACACAGGGAACTCAGCCAGGGTCCTTCTGTGAGAGAATCTATAGGTCAAGGCCCTGGAGGACTGCTGATGGACACCATAGGAGCTAGACACAGAAAACACAGCCAGAAGTAGGAAGCTGGGTACTGTCGGGGTATGAGAATGTAACTTGGTGGACGTTTGTCCTGTGCATGGGTATGACTGTCTGTGAGAATGTTCAAATCTGGGTAAGTCTACAGGTTTTCCTGAAGTCTGATCCCAGCATGCCTGGCTCCCACAGGGTGAGTATTCCCAGACCCTCTGCCTTACCTGTGGGGTAGGCTGCTGTGTCTCAGGAATGTCATGGGTCACATTCAGCCTTCCGTGGCACAAAAAGAAAGGGTAAACTGAGACCCCAGTTCCTTCCTAGTTAAAGTCCTTTGGACTCACTCTTCAAGAGGGGAGAGGAAGTAGAATTATATGTTGGGCACCCCATTGGGCCTAACATCTCCACAAGACCCAAGGCAGTGCTGGGAACCCCATATGGGACCCTGTCTACCACTCTGCCTAGAGCCACAGAACAGCCCGAAGCCAGCAGCCACTGCCTGACTATACAAAAAAAAATCTTTTGCATGGTCCAGAGACACAGCAGGGCCCTCCTGGATTCATCTTCACTCGATGTCCTCAAATACTGCCTGTCTGGGCCCAGTCTGCTTACAGGATTCATGAAGACCAGTTGAGCATAGGCCTTAGGGAGGAGGTTCAGGGTTGGGGACAGGAATGAAGACACAGCTCATAGTCCCCTCTCTTCATCTTAATTTGTGGGAGCCCTTAATCTCATCCTGTCTCATGGGTGAGATGAGGTTATCACACCCCATCTGAAAGATGCAGAGAATCTCTTGTCTCTGTACCAGGCATAAGAAGACCCTTGGGAAGGTACCACTGGTCACAAATGCCTTGGTTTTATGCTTAGGGCCCTACTCCACCCCCAGGGACAATTGTCCAGAGGGTCAGGGGGCTCATACCCAAGCCTGCTAACCACCGACCATCTCTCTCTCTCCCACTTAAGCCAATGGCAGCCCCACCACAGGCCTCAGCACCGGCGCCATCGTGGGCATCCTCATTGTCATCTTCGTCCTGCTCCTGGTGGTCATGGACATCACCTGCTACTTCCTGAACAAGTGTGGTCTGCTCATGTGCATTGCTGTTAACCTGTGTGGCAAAGCTGGACCCGGAGCCAAGGGCAAAGACATGGAGGAGGGCAAGGCTGCTTTCTCGTGAGTGCAGAGCTATCTGGTTGACCGGGCTCTGTCCCAGCCCAGGGCCTAGCACTGTGCTATCTGAGAGTGCCATGGTGACCTCCACGCTCGCCTTACCTTTTCCCACATGAAAACTCTGAGAGGTTAAATCATCAAAGCAAATCTCTCTAAGCACGGGTTTAAGGCAAGGTGGGGTTGCCTGTTTGAAAAGCAGTGTCTTGGGTCTACCCTAGGTTCTAAAGTCTCATGAAGATTTGAAAATCCCTGAGAGGGTCAAGAGAGGGGGGTTGTCAGAATTAGACCTGGAGAGGAGCTATGATGGGGGGAACCAGCATTGGAGGGCATGCACTTGATCTCCCATTCATTCAGTTACCACTCAGCAAGTGTTTATCTTGTAGCTGCCGAAGGCAAGACCCTGTATCCTGGCTGTTGGGTACCAAAAGGAGAAAAATGAATATAGATTCCTCTCCTCTGGGAGGGACAATCTATCTGTTCTGCCCTCCTGCGGCATCTGTTAGCTAGTCAGCAGGAGATTTTGAAGTCCGTGGGTGAGCGGGCCTGTTGTAGCAAGCTGAGAAAGGATGGAGTGAGAAGCTGAGTTGTTTAGCACTCCCACATGCCCATAACTGTGTATATACAGATACATATATGCACATGGGCCTATGTATGCACAGTTACAAATACATGTATATGCATGCATATATATGTATGCACATGGGTTTACATTGGAGAGTTATCTGTACTGTGCTAAAAAAAAAAAAACTTTACATGAATTATCTCATTTAGTTCTCACATGTCGGTGAGTTATAAACTATTACTTATCCTAACTTACAGATGGGAGAACTGAGGTAGAGCTGATTACCTTATATACTCTGGGCTAGGCAGATGCAGAAATAGTAACCTGGCCTGCTTTGCCAGCCACAGGCCAGACTCTGATACCCCTCAATACAGCTTCTTTTCCTAGATGTCTTCCCTCTGAAGCCACCCTGGGATCTAACCAGCAGAACTCTCTCCACAGGAAAGATGAGTCCAAAGAACCCATTGTGGAGGTCCGAACAGAGGAGGAACGGACTCCAAACCATGACGGAGGGAAACACACAGAGCCCAATGAGACCACGCCACTGACAGAGCCCGAGTATGTGGACTAGGAGGGGCTGACACCTCCTCAATAGATTCCCCAGTTCCACCTCCTCACCCTATCCCAACCTTCCCTGCTTCTCACCCTCGGCTCCCGGGCAAACATGGAAGCCAGCGCTCCGGAGCCCTCGGTCAGAAGACCTGTTGGCCAGACAATGCCTGAACCCACTCTCCTCGGAGAGAAGGCATTCTTGCTTCTCCTTGGGTCATGGTGGGTGTCTTCCCAGGCTCTTCGCATAAGTGGGGCTCACAGGACTACTCTAAAATTCCACACAGATTCTAGGAATGGCTTAAACTCATTGAAAGAGAGGACTAGCCCATTTCCTTTAGGGTTTCTTAAATATCTTCTATGCTAGAAAAGTTGGGGACCTGGTGCGGTTCCCCCGGCCTTCTTCTAATCAGAAACCTCAGAGATCGTCAGGTGCTCTGTCCAGCCATGTTTGTCATGCCTGCCAGGCTACTGAGGATCTGATAGATTTGAAGGAAGTATTATATTTAAAGGAACATACATCTGTGACTAGAAGAGCCCCTGACATATTGGAGCCATGTGGAGTACTGATCTGCCTCATCTGGCCCCATCCCTGCCTAGAATGAACTGTAAGGTAGCTGGACCCCATTTCTATGGGGCTCCAGAAGCCTAGAGAGGTATAGGATGGACTTTAGCTGCCTTCCCTGGAGTGGAGATCCTGGGTGGCCCAAGAGATCACTAGAGAGGTCTCTAGGGGACTGGAGCCCTGTGCAGAGAGCTGAAGGGCGTCAGCAGGGAGGAAGGCTAGCAGGTCCCTTTGAGACCTCCTCGTTCTTTGTTGTCTCCTGTGTCCTCTTCCGCCCGCCTGGGGCTTGTACTTCCTCTTCGTCCTCGTTTCTCTGTGGGCCCATGTTCCTGCCCGTGTATGGTTGCATGCCCACCCACAGCTCCTCTCCTTGGCTCCTATCTAGCTTCTCTGTCATGTCTCAGCTTCATTGTCTATTCTCTCTCTACTTCCTGTCCTCCCCACAGGCTGCCTGCTGACACCACAGCCACTGTCGAGGACATGCTGCCTTCCGTTACCACCGTCACCACTAACTCTGACACTATCACCGAAACTTTTGCCACTGCTCAGAACAGCCCCACCAGTGAGACCACTACACTGACCTCCAGTATTGCCCCACCAGCCACAGCTGTGCCGGACTCAAATTCTGTGCCCGCTGGTCAGGCTACTACCCCTTCCAAGGGGCCTGGTGTCACTGCCGCAGCCTCACCCCCAGCCTCGGCCCCAAAGGTTGCTCCTCTTGTTGACCTGAGTGATACCCCAACCTCAACTCCCTCTGCTAGCAATTTGTCCTCCACTGTCCTGGCTAACCAAGGCGCTGTACTCAGCCCCAGCACCCCTGCCAGTGCGGGGGAGGCCTCCAAGGTCCCTCCAGCCAGTAAGCCGTCCCCCGCTCCAACCCCCACCCCAGCCGGGGCAGCCAGCCCCTTAGCAGCCGTAGCCGCCCCTGCCACAGAAGCCCCCCAGGCCAAGCAGGAAGCCCCCAGCACCAAAGGCCCGGACCCAGAGCCCACCCAGCCTGGCGCCATGAAGAACCCACCTGAGGCAGCCACAGCCCCTGCTAGCCCGAAGAGCAAGGCTGCCTCCATCAGCGCCACAAACCCTTCCCAGGGCGAGGACTTAAAAATGGACGAAGGGAACTTCAAGACCCCAGATATTGACCTTGCAAAGGATGTTTTTGCAGCCCTGGGCTCTCCTGCGGCTGCCACTGGGGCCAGTGGACAAGCCTCTGAGCTTGCTCCTTCCGCTGCAGACATCGCTGGGCCGCCGCCGGCACCAGCAAAGACCGAGTACGGCCTCTCTTTGTCTTCTGTCACTGGGTTGTGTCCTGTGGTGGTGTGTGTCTGTGCTGTGCTGTGTCCTCCTTGTCTGATGTGTTCTCAGCCTCTTGCAGGGCTTCTGTGAGGCAACTGTCAGCCAGGGGCCTGGAATGAGGCAGGAGCAGGGGCAGGCAGTGGGGTGGGCAAAGCAGCGGCCTGCTCACTAATTAGGCCACGTTAATTATGTTTCATCCTTATCAGCCTAGCCATGCTTCTGTTTTCCCTGGGGATGCCTTGCAGTTGGGCCACTGGTGAGCAGAGCTTGAGAAGGCACTAAGGAGGCCAAGGTGCCTTTATCTGTCATCCTGGGCGCAAAGTGTGTGTGTGTGTGTGTGTGTGTGTGTGTGTGTGTGTGTGTGTGTGTGTGTGTGTGTGTGTGTGTGTACGCTGTCCAGGGCCAGGCCAAGTCCTCCTGAGAAAGGCACCATTGTATTCAGGAAGAAAAGCGGTAGCCATGTGAGGTGCATATGTAGGGAGGATGCAGCCCACAGACAGCTCTGTCACATGCTAGCTGCGAGGCCTGCCCCTACCCAAGACCCTCAGACACTCAATGCCTGGCTCCAAGTTCAAGTTCTCAGCCTTCAGATTTCTTAGGTGTGATGCTCAATACAAGGAGTCACCTGCTAGCTGCACTTGCTCCAGTGCATCTTCAGGCTTGACTCTGTCTTGTGAGATCTGTGGAGACAGAGGCACGCCTGGACTTTTATAAAGATTTATAAATGTGGCTGTCCCTTCTGGCTCCTTGTAGCAAGTAGGCCCACCCTATTCAGTCACCATAGAGTTATCATCTGAAACAGCATGGCATGAAAGGTTAGGGGCAGGCAAAAGAGAGGTGGCTTATGATAGGGGTCCCTGAAACTGGTACTAGAAGCAGAGCCCAGTACACCCCACTTGTAGCAAGCTGAGATGCCGTGCTTCTGCCTGTCAGGGTAAGAGAAAGGACCTTCTCTTCTCCTGCCCCAGGTTCACACAGGGCTCCCCAGGGCAATCAAGGCAGGAGGAGGAAAGGACTTTACCCTGACTAGAGTACCTCCACCTAGCTGCACCTTGAAATCACCTGGTTGCTTTTAAAGTCATGGCACCCAGGATTTCTGGGGACATGCCCCAGGCATGAGTCATTTGGAGAACTCTGAAGTGATTTCAACCTGCGTGTTTGTTTGAGGTTGGATGCCAGAGGCTGCCACTGAAGCCCCCGCCCCCAACATGGCCTGGGAAGAGGGGCAGTATCTGCAGAGCGGTGCACTGTGATCTCAGCAACACTATTTCTGTTTCTCTGCAGGAAGGGTCCTGTAGAAGCAAAGTCCGAGTCCCAGGAGTCAGAAGCAAAGCCAGCACCAACTGAAGTCAAGACGGTCCCCAATGATGCCACACAAACAAAAGAGAATGAAAGCAAAGCATGATGGGTACCTAGCAACAGCAAAGATCAAAATAAAAAGTGACACAGCGGCTTCACCAGAGCATCCCCAAATCAATCTCTCTCTCTCTCCCTCTCCCTCCCTCTTTCTCTCCTCTCTCTCTCTCTCTCTCTCTCTCT